AATGAATAGAATGTGAGAGTAGAAGGAAATATAGGCTAGTGTGTTTTACCCTCTAAGGCACGAACCTGTATAGTCTACAATAACATACTAAGCTATGTTTTGACAGCGCCTTTCGACCCCGCATTCGCCTGCCCCGCGCCTGCCAGCCAAGCACCAGTGCCCCGCACCCTCCAGCCCCGTGCCCGTCGGCCCCGATTTCGCCAGCCCCGCGCCCGCCAGCCCTGTGCCCATCGGCCCCGCGCTCGCCAGCACAGCGCCCGCTGGCCCCGCTTTCGCCGCCCGCACGCCCGCTGGCCCCGCCTTCGCCAGCCGCCTGCCGCCGGACCCGTGCTCTCCGTCAGCCCTGCGCCTCCTGGCTACGCACCTGCCAGCCCCACGCCTGCTGGCCCCACGCCTGCCTGCTCGTTTGCCCCGGCCCTGAGCTCCCGCCCACCCCAGCACCGTCGGCCACCGTTCTGCCAGCCGCAGCTCCGCCGGTCCTTGCCCTCCCCGGCCCTTCCTATCGCCGAGCCGAGCTGACTCGCCGGCCTTGGCTCACCCTCTGAGTCGGCGCTCCCGCCGGCAACCTCCACCGCACTCCACCACTCTCCACCGCACTTCACCGCACTTCACCTCTCTCCATCGCACTCCACCGCGCAACGCTCAGGTCCTCCCAGGGCTACTGCTTTAGCCTTGGTGCAAGCGTCATGTCGTGGAGGTCCACCCGCTCGTCATTTGTGGCCCAGTCTAGCTGTGAGGCTGAGATCTACGCCGGTGGCATGGCGGCATAGGAGCTTCGCTGGCTGATTTTCTTGCTCACAGACTTAGGTGAGCAGCCTAACTCTGCCCCAATCCTGTACGCTAAGAACAGAGCCATGATCCTCCTGTGTCAGGAGCCTCGACTGGAGGGCAGAGCGAAGCACATCCAGTTGCGGTACTTCCTTCTGCGCAAGCTACAGGAGCGCGGCCAGGCCCGCGTAGTACACCTGGCCTCCGGTGCCAACACAACTGATATCTTTACGAAGGCGCTTGAATCTAAAGATCATCAGCGGCACTGTGTACAGCTTGGTCTAGTTCCTGTAGCTTCTCACTTGCTAGGACCTTGATTCTGTACCTCTTCTTATATTATCTTGACTAGCCTTGTGGCTCTTGTTCAAGTGGCTGGACTAGTGGGGCCGCCCTGGATTACTCTTATATAGTTTGTACTCTTGCTGACTGGTCCTTGGACCCTTGCCTCAGAGGTTGGACTAATTGTGCCACCCTGAGCTGCGTGTCTCTTCCTAAGCACTG